TCGATGTCATCGGCATATGCAAGTAGTTGTATGGTCTTATTGAATAGCGTACCACTAGCCTGGATGCCAGAATACCTCACAGCTTTTTCAAGTGCCAGGATAAATAGGAGGCATGCAAGAGCATCTCCTTGTCGCAGTCCTTTAGTTGTCATGAATCTCTGTGATAGGTCACCCTGTACTCGGACGACACACTCTACGCCCATCATGGTCATCCTGACGAGGCGGGCCAGTTTTGGTGGTATGTTCATTCCAATCATTGCCCTGTATAACTGCTCTCTATCAATGCTATCATAAGCAGCTCTAAAATCTATAAAGAGATGATGAATTTTAACATTATATTCCATCGTTTTCTCCAGCAGCATTCTAAGGGTGAATTTCTCATCAGTGGTCGATTTTCCTCTTCTGAATCCACACTGGTATTTGCCGATATCTCCCTCTGCAAACTGCAGAAGCCTCTGGAAGAGCACGTTTGATAAAACTTTGTAAGCACTGGAGAGCAGAGAAATGCCTCTATAATTTTCACTGTTAGTTTATCGCCTTTCTTGTATATAGGGCATATCACAGACTTGTTCCAATCCTTAATTAATCTCTCTTCTGTCCAGATAATCAAGAATAGCTCGCATAAGATTTTTATTAGCTCGGTTCCCCCATATTTGTATAGTTCACCTGGGAGTCCATCGAATCCTGGGGTCTTGTTGTTTTTGAGCTTTCTTATTGCCTCCTCTACTTCCTCATCATCTGGTGGTTTCAGATCATCATCGGCATTATAACCAGGTGTTACAGCATCCTCATCAATGTTGTTATTTCTCAATCCTTCAGTTAGGAAGTCTTCGAAATATCTTCTCCATCTAACCAGAATATCCGTCTTCTCCGCCAGAAGATTACCATTTCCATCTCTGCATGAAGATATTGTTGGTTGATAAAGTTTGCGCCCTTCATTAATTTTTTGGTAAAATTTCCTCACTTCGTTTAGGTTCCTGTGCTCTTCAACGGCCTCCAACTCATTGCTTTCGTATTCCTGTTTTTTTCTCTTGTGTAACCTTTTTTCAATTCTTCTTTTTTCACGATACTTATTCCCCAGTTGCAGCTTGAGTATTTCTTTTTTGGAGCATTTTTCTATAGGCCTCATTCTTCGTTTCAGTCACCAAATGACATCCTTCATCGAACCAGGGAGATCTGACTGACCTTTCCTGCTCACCTAGAACTTCATTTGGTTCAATGAAAAGCAGCTGGTACCTATTCTTTATTGCAATAGTTCAATATCAAAAGACAAAGCCGGGTCAAGTACTAGGTAACTGTTGAAAAAAAAATTATAAAACCCAAAGAAATTCGTACCAAATAAATGTTATTCCAATAATTCATTATCAAAATACGTAGCTGGATCGAATTCCAAGTAAACTGTTCAGAAAAAATAAAAACAAACCCCAAGGATGTTGGTACCAAATCATTATTCAAATAATTCAATATACGAAGCCAGATTGAATTCCAAGTTTATGATAATCACCCAACCAAATACGGTTTCAATAAATTACATTGAAACAGTAAATCAGTAATTCAAGTCAATATCAATAATCAAACCCTATCCAAATCCAAAAGTTTCAAATATTCTTGGTTTTTATCTAGGGTTAATTCCTTACTGTTCAACCATTGGTAGTATACTGAGAATGATAGAGAGAGGGGCAACAAACGGAAGGAGAATGGGGGGGGGGGGAACAGAGTGGGGTGGCACAGACCGAATATAAAAAAGTGTTGTGTTGCTTCAGTCTTTTCACAACAACTGAAATAACTTAGAATAAAACTTGTTTCAAAATTTAATTGTTCCCAGTTCATTCCAAGTTAATTGAAATTAACTTGAAATAAATTGTAAGCTTTAGATTAAACGAATTCAACCCGTCAATCATTTCTTTTCATTCATACAAGTGCACAAAAACTTAATTAATATTTCATCCACGTTTTAAATACCTAGTAAATTGCAATCAGACACATAAAAAAAAATGAATTCTTTTATTTATTTATTGAAGGAAGTTAGTCAACTGTTCTACATATCAGGGGTGATAAATATTCAGGATCCAGTCATTATAAGGTTTTTATTAGTGCCGATGTTTCAACTCAAACATGTGGGTACTTGAATATCTTCAGTGCTCGAACCACGCCCTGATGATGACCCACATGTTTTATTTATTTAGATTTTGTTTATGTCTATTGAATATCAACAGTTATTTATTAATCAATTTAATTTAAGGTTTAAATACTAAATAAAATATTGATTTAAAATTGAAAATCTATATATGAAACAAATTTTTACTTCCTTGACTAACAATGAATTGGACATTAAGTTATCTACATCCATGTAAAATTAGAACTTTATTTGAATATTGTGGCGGGCGTGGTGAAATTTTTGGGATTTTTTTCTGATTTCTGGCTAATCCGTTTGGTTAATCCTAAAAATGCATATGACAACATTTGTTAGGAAGTTGAATCGAAAGACACCTTGAATGGGAAGATCAAACAAAGTTGAAAAATGAATGTGTTTTACCCGTCCTTTTTTAAGCGACAACGCGTTACAGATGTTCGGGATTTCGGATTTTTCCCATTGAGTTGTGATCTTTTTTTCCATCAATTGAATCATACAAATTTTAAATTGGCTTGCGGTAGAGTAGGTTAGGATGAGAATAGAAGTAAGTGCCTAATCGGAATCTCTAGACAAATTACTCAAGAATTCATAACTTTGGTTCTACCCAATATTTTGTTTTCATTTAAAGCCTGTGTTTTAAATCGAGCAAACCTAAATATAATGTCAAAATTTCATTGGACAATGCGGATATACAGACAGACAAAATATTTTTTATAAGTGGATTTGGTGTCTGTAATGTATGGAACGGAAATATATCATGAAACAGGTTGAAATTATTCAATTTACAGACAAAAGCTTTATTTTATTTATATAGATTGTCTACAAAAAGTGTGTCTACAAAAAAAAAAAATTGTCATGTTATAGTTGTTAGACCAACATATATTTTTTTTCTACTGGCTTTACATACCTTTTAGATCTTTTGCCACCATAACCAGCCATCTCAATCTCCGGCTTATCTTGGGGTATTTCTTTCCAGTTATCTCCATGCCACTTTAAAGTATCTTAGTTGATTCCATCTATCCATCTAATTTTTGACCTTCCATATGGTATCTTACCTGCTATTGAGGTATTCATTGTAGACCAACTTTTATTTTTATATTAATCAAACTTAAATATTCAAAACCAAAATGCTTTTCTTTTTATCTGTCAACACTACAGTAACTCATTGTAAACTAAATTCGAATAAGAAAAGTCAATTAGTTAGCTAGGCATGGCCTACTAGCTGGTAAATAACAATTTTATTGATTAATACCTAAATATTACTTTTATTTAAATTGTCATTTATATTCGAAGATGATAATATACATGGTTTCCTGTAAGTAGATGGGAATATTTAAAAAGGTAATAGTAAACCTCTAGAGCTATCATAAACACTAGTCCATTTAAACAATAGTCCGATTTTCGTGTTTTTTTAAGTATTGGATTGGCAAATAAGTCCTTTCGGTTTTTCTGTTTATTTTAATGTCACGATGATACACTTCTTATCTAATGAATTAATCCCTAAGGTGGATTGTTTATCCTGTTTATAATATGTCAACAACTATATCTGTTAACTCTTGTTGAAACTAGCTTAGTATTGTGTTTGCTATTGCATTCTGAATATGGAAGAGAAGATCATTCATTATCGGCATATTTGTTGCTGCAGAAGCTCATTGAAAAATTTGCAGTGTTTATGGGGATGATGCCTTAACCGAACACACCTGTCAAAACCCAGATTGCTGTCATCAGGACAAACAATTTATTTAACTCTATACTGCTCACAATCAACAAAATTGGATCAATCAATTAAAAGTAACGTCCAGAACTGGCAAATCTGAAGGGTGTTGTGTTCTACCAAGGCAACGCTAGACCCCACACCTCATTGGTCACTTGCATTAAATTATTGAGCCTTGGGTGTGACCTTTTGCCCCACCCTCCAAATTCACCAGACCTAGCTCTTGACCTAGATAAGTGACTACCACTTATTCCGGTCTCTGCAGAACTCGATGAATGGAAAAAAAATTCCAGAAGGAAGAGGGCATCAAAAACCACCTGGATCAGTTTTTTAACAATAAACTCCAGACATTCTATGAACATGGCATTATCAGTGGAAAGATGGAAAAAGTCATATTAAATAATGGTCAATATATTGTTTATTAAAATAAATTTTATGTCTATAACACATTGAGTTTTATTTCACCTTGAAAAACCGAAAGGACTCATTTGCCAATCCAATAAGCCATCGTTTTTGTTAAATAGGAAGCGTTTACTAAAACATTAGTTAATATATTAATTAACAATTGCTTCACTGTGAACTAGACAAAATTGGCTTTAAATGAAAGTAGAGTTTGTTATTGTTAAAACCTGAATTATTCACAATTTTTATTTATCACCATCCAACTAGATAAATATAAATATATTTATACATGTTCGGATTAGGGTTCAATATATAACTAACCATTATATTTGATCCCTAGATTCAAATAAAATAAATTTGAGTACTCTGTATTGAAATAAACTCACTTTTATTGGCTTGCAAATTTTACAAAGAGATTTTAGACTTTTTTAACTTTTAACAATAATAAATTTTATAAAATAAACATCAGTTTTGACTGACTTCCTAACATAAGTGACTGATTAAACGTTTCTAATCCTAATATCTACCTGTAAAATTATGAAGCTTGCTGATTATTCTCATGAAATCGTAAATATTAGAATTGGAAACATTTAATTGATCACTTATAAATAGGGATACATTTCTATAATACAGAGCTTAATAAAAAACACATATTTCATTATCCATCTTTTTAATTAATTATAATCTAAATATTTCTTCAATTTTTAATGTATTACTATAAATAATATATATATGTTTTTTGGAAAACAGATTTAGGTTCAAACAATTCTGGACTGTATACCCTCCAAGCTGTCTTAACACACCGTGGTAGATCTAGTTCCAGTGGCCACTATGTTGCTTGGATCAAACATACAAATGACACCTGGATGAAATGTGATGATGATGTAGTTACCCCAGTACCTAAAGAGTCTATTTTAAAACTTTGTGGAGGTGGTAAGTAGTATCCAAAATGTGTTTTATTTTAACAATTTTTAAGAGTCGCCCTCCAATTTTCCATTTTCGTCCAGTCTTATTTACTAATTGTTTATTATTTAATTGGTATGTACTGTGGTTATTTATCTTATCAACATTTCATATAAAAAATAAATAAATAAAAAACTTGTAGCCCTACAACTTTTACGGCTCTTTGGGTTCACTAGTTTTTAAGAACATACTGTATCTTGGTCAATAATTGTACAAGGATGTGATTTGACCGAGATTATACTTAGCCATCAGTTTTTCCCTTAATTAGTTATTCAACTTGTTGTGTAACCATATCATGTTTCGTTATGCACATCATTTTTGTTTTGTTTTTATTTACCTTAAGTCCCATATTTTTTCCTTCTTGTTGTAACTTACAGAAGGCTTTCTCCAAAGCAGCTATTGATCTCCCAATAATTGCAATGTCATCTGCTCTTGCTAGGACTCATACCACTCTGGTAAATATTCTATTGCTGTGGTTCAGTCCTGTCCTGCTGAGAATTATCTACAGTACTATATTAAATAGTGATGGTGTCTGGTCTAGCCCAGTGTTCACATCAAACAAGCCGCCACTATTCTTTCCATTCATCTGGACTTGGCAAATATTCTTATCCATGGTATACCTAGTTTGTCTAATTAGTTTTTTAGGGATGCCCATTTCTTTCATTTCACTGTAATGGTTCTCTTTAATTATAGAATCATAAGCTACCTCAAAGTTAACAAAAAGTATCTACAGAAGGTAGCCCAATTCATACATCTTTTCACCTAATTTTTAAGGATACAAATTTGGTTTCTTTTTGACATATTCTTACAAAAACCTGCTTGGTAGTCACCAAAATTGCTTTCCATATATGGTATCAACCTGGTATATACAATATCCAAAGATCATGTATGCAATGTTCGAGAGACTGATCTCTCTATAATTACTGCACTCTGTGGGATCACCATATCTTCTTAAATACTGGGACTGCTATAGATTCCTTTAATTTTTTGGGTATTCTTTCTTCTTGTCATACATGGGCTACTAGCTTGCATAGTTCAGTATTCATTTTGAGTCCCTGGGGCTTAATGATTTCTTAGTTCAGCGATGATGTCCGCAATATCCTCTGCCTCTGAGGGCATTTCCTCATCTGTCTTTCAATAAACATCAAATGATTTTTCAATTTTAATGAAAATAAATATTGAAATGATAGATTTAACAATTATACAACTTTTTAAATTAAAATTGTTTGGATTAAATCAATAAACTATAATCTTGCTATGATTTCAGGTGATTGGCATGTTGCTTACGTTTTACTTTATGGCCCGAGAATATTGGAAATACCTGTTAATGGAAAAAAATCATAAATGTGATATTAGCATTTTTTATTATTATTTTCTTTTTTTTCTTTTTTCATTCAATATGTATAACCTTTATTAAATGGACTAAACCTGGCTATACTTTTACTCCCTCACCTTTACTTATATTTTTGTCTATGCAAATAATTTATTATTTACTATATAAAAGAAATTGAAAAGAAATCTCTTGATTGCCAGTATACCTTAACCAATTACTGAATCCTGAGTTTAGTGATAGTGTTGGTCTCAAATAAATTAATATCAAACTACTGCACTAAGTGTACAAAGTTTGATTAAAATTTACTTACCTTTATCAGAAAACTAATGCACCAGGAAGTGATGTAAAAACATACTTTAAGGCTTTTTATGAAATAATTGTTATATATACTAAAGTGGAAAGAGATTTAAATCTGTAAAAAAAGCAGAAGATCTTGATGTAATGTTGATGGTCTCAAAGCAGTATATATCGAACAATTTCACAGACATTTTCAAAAAATGTCTGGAGAATGATTATCAACACTAGTGACACTCATAAAATGGGTATATCAGGTGACATGTTAATCAATATTTCTTCATCCAACTATCGAGATTAACCCTCATGTACTTTCTCTATTCTACTAGATTTAGAGCCCCCTCATAAAATATTTCATTATGTACAGCTTATTATGTTAGTACCTCTGGGTTGTGAGAGCAGTAGGGAGTGAGAAATCAGCATTTCATGTGTTTGTTACTGGATTATTATTTACAAATTTGATCACATTTATTGTCCAGTAACATAAACGTGAGAAAAATTTTTAAATGATCCATATATGATTTCTATGTGGGGTATAACTCATACCATTGCAGGTATGGTTTAATGTCTTGGCTACCTGTATTGAACTTTAAATAGTACAGATATTCGATTTGTATGCTGAATTTCTGGTGATGTGCTAAATATGTTTAAAGTGATAAGTTTGGTTTCATCTTCATAGACTATAAATCGTGAGTATACTTTAATTCTTTACTTTATTTTATTAATTTTCCCTTATCAATTCAGTAGTAATGAAAGAAAAAGATAGAAATCAAGTTTTAAACTTGGTTAAACGAAGATAGTGTCTATAGTTTAGAAGATAGGCTATTAGCCAACACATTTTTTATCTTGAAATTAGTAGTTTCTAGTATGAAATTGAAATTTGATTCTGCTTTATAGTTATTGTTACTTTCATCATTAAAATAAGAGTATGGTTGATGATCCTTAGCTTTATTGTGATCTCTAGTAACTAAAAGTAGTCTTTTATGCCAGAATAAGTGATATGATACTCATCATGATTGATTTTTAAGAAAGATTGTTGTTCTGCAAAAGTTCTGAAATGAAATATTATTTTCCTTAGTTTTTCTTATAATTGAAATTCTAAAATTTAATGTTTAATCAAGATGGTTCAACTATCATTCAAGTATCATCAACTATACTCAATTCAACTATGATTTAAGGATCATCAACTAAACTCATATTTTTAATAATGAAAGTAACAATAACTATAAAGGAAAACCAAATTTCAATTTTATACTTGAAACCACCGACTTCAAAATAAAAATTGTATCAGCTAATAGCCTCAAACTATAAAATTATCTTCTATAACCACATTTCAAACTTAAATAAATTATATTTGTTAAATTTACATTAAAAAAATTTATATGTATTGAATTTACATTAAATAATATAATGTTTATTTATTAAATTTACATTAAATAATTTATGTTTAGTAAATTTACATTAAATAATTTATATTCATTTAAAGTTTTTTTTTTCAAAGGAGAATATTAAGAAGAAAAATTAAAATAGTTTCATGGTTGCTGACTTAGAATTGAGTTTCTTATTTTCCAATGAAAGTTAATTGTCACTTACTTTTTGTTTAGTGAGGGTTTATGTTTATGTATTTTTTAATAATTATATAAATTTGTTTGTGAAGTTTGCCAATGAGAGAATGAGATGAATATAATGGAAATCGCAATATACCGAAATTTATTGGAATATATTTTAAAAGAAGTTAAATAGAAAGAAACAAAATATTGTTCTTTGATTTTATTATTTATTTTCGTGTGATAAAAGTGATTCATATGCTTCATTCAACTTGTCCAACTTCAATTCTATCCCAAAAACCATTCTAGTTAATAGTTTGTTGCAATAATTAATTTTGAAATTGAAATAACAAAGAGAGACTTTTCAAATATTAGTTTCCCACTGACCCAATATGGCCGCCACATCTGTATAGCTGCACTGTATTATTAAGCCACTGTAGGGGCTTAAAAATCAATCATGATAAGTATCATATCACTTATTCTGGCATAGTAATGATCTACAGCTTTCAAAATTATATTTTCTATCAACTGTCTTCACACCACATACAGACTACCCAGAAAATCAACATGAAAATTATTTCCAAGATTCTCTTGAAATCCCTTTACCACTAACATTACCTCCTCCAGCTTTCACTCCATCCGAAGTACTACAAGTAATTCTTAAGTTACCCAAAAGAAAAGCCCTAGAGTATGATCTGATCACTGCTGAGCTACTCCAACATATGCCCAGAAAAGCAATAGTAAATCTAACAACTCTATTCAACGCCATATTAAGAACAACAAAATTCAAAATTGGAAGTTTTCACAAATACTAATGATACAAAAATCTCAATAGCCCTTCCTCCTACAGACCCATCAGTCTACTTCTGATTTTCTCTAAAATTTTTGATAAATTATTTTACAGACGCATAATCAACATATTAACAGAGAACCAAAGTCTACTTGAACAGCAATTCGGATTCTGTTCACTACACTCAACCATACATCAACTTCTCAGAGTCACAGACTTCATTTCAATTGCACTAGAAGAAAGGTCATACACTACTGGCGTATTTCTGGATGTTGCTCAAGCATTCGACAGAACCTCATTCTTCTCTCCTTCCTTTGAAACAGATTTTTCTCTGTCCGACAGGGATTGGAAACCTCTTCCATATATCCAGTAAGGGCCGGAGTACCGCAGGGGTTGATTCCTTCATCTTAACCGTACATTATATACACAAATGATATACCAACTTACCCTAACACATTAATTGCAACCTATGCATATGACACATCTATTCTCACCAGACATGTGGACATCACCCAAGCATCGTTGACCCTATAACATTATTTACAAATATTACAGGAATGGTTTAAAAAATTAAAATTAAACTCAACAGTGATAAATCTCAGCACATCACATTCACGCTCCGATATGACACCTGTACTCCAGTTTATATAAACAATGTCCCCATACAGACTAACACAATTCATTAATTAGGGACTCGGGTTCGACAGGAGGATGACCTGTGGATCACACATTGAAAAAAGTCTTACCTTAAATAATCGGCTAAGGCTTTTGTATTCTCTCTTACACAAACGTTTTAACTTAAAAATGAGACAAAAACTAAATGCCTACTCTTACTTACTAACACACATATGGACATATGCATTGCAAATCTACGGGATAGCAAAAAAGACCCAAATTAAAAAAATACAGACTTTCCAATCAAAATCTTTAAGACTCATCACGCGCTCACCTTGGTACGTCAGTAACAAAACATTATACACAGACTTAAACATACCGATGGTACAAGATCATATCCGGACATCATATAAAAAATTCCATTCCAAACTTCATGAACATACCAACATACTATAAAAAACATGGCCACGAGACATATGCTAGAAAACACCCGAAGAAGGCTGGAAAGGAGCTGGCTAATGGGAATCTCCTAGATTAACTTTTTCTTTTATTTCAAGTTAGGAGTAGGTGGTGCCGATGGGTACCGACCTCCCTCAAGCCTGAAATGTTAATTCGATCAATCGATTAATAAAGATCTGCTTATTGTGACAGGTTTGGATTAAATAATAAATGTTAAAAAAAAAAAAAAAATCGTCCATCATATACGTTGCTGTGCTTAGGTACATAATACATTATTCAGTTAAATGTTGCAGATGCCGCTGCAATACGTCTGCCTGTTTACGCTTGTTTATGGAGCAGGTTCGGTTATTTTTCTTATCTTAGTTTTCTCCTTCCCGTCACTCTATTTTCATATTCCTATTTTTATTAATTGATACATTTGCTCATTCATCTCTTTTACATTACACACCCCGACCATCCTCTTCAAAATATAAAAATATTGCATAGATGAGTAAAACATACGTTTATAAACTTCAATACATTTAATGTAATTTAATATCTCTGATAATATATTTAAATAATTAGATATCTATCATTGGTTAATTTCGAAAAATCGTTATGTGACATTTTAGAAAATTAAATTAGTGAATAATTTGACGTATTTTCCCTCTGTGAAATCACATTAACCACTTACAATTTATGTGACAACTCTTGACCTATCGATGGTCGGCAATGAAAATCCCGTAATTCTATTTTAGTAAACTTTAAAATAGAAAAATAAGAGTATAAGAACCAATAGTAGCAGGGTTGGCCATCTTCCCCAAGGTCTATGGCACATGACTCCCTTACTTCTCAATTCCCTCTTTCCTCCCTCTCATCCCAATATATTTTATTGCTCTTCTCTTATTAAACAGGGCAACCGAAAATATAATTTTAAAAGCTTTAGATCATTATTATTACACTATTGTTTCATGTTTTCCCTTGTCTTTAGATTTGAAAACTTTCATTTCGAAAATTCATAACCTTGTCGAAATGTGCTCCTCTCAAAAATTCAAAAACCCTGCGCCAGAAAAACCCCTTGTGGGCAATGAATAGTATAGTACAATCCATAATCATTTATATGTAGGCTAAAGATACAGGTGTACTTTCAAATCTCTCTAGGCATATATAGCTCAGAGACTAGTTGTGTGGTATACAAAAACAGACGAAGTTACGACGCACAGACCAATCTAGACGGAAAAAACTCTATCACCTGATATTTATTTTATTTATCTACCCATTTAAAGGGAAAAGTATGGAGTACATAAGAAACAACAATTAAGTAATTTCTCTCTCTCTCTCTCTATATATATATATATATATTTCTTATAAGATTTAATATTATTACTTTCATTTAAAAGTAAACACATGTTATAAATATATTGTTATTTAACCTTCTGCGATTAAGACTCTACTGTTTGTAAAATAAAAACTTATTGAAAATCAAT